ACTGAAGAACACCGAATTGGGATTTAAAATCACTTGATATTTGTGGCCTTAACAAGTATTTAATTGATTATCCTTTTTGATTGGTGATGTCAAAAGTGTCACTCCTGAAGGTGCAGCTTCAGACAATGCAAAAACTCAATGTTGAAACATCACTTCTGAAGAGTGTGTGCAGAATTTTGTTGTTCCAAGGAGTGAACTTCTCAGACAAAGGAGAGATGCAACATATGTTTTGGAGGATAAACAAATGTGTATTTATCAATAGTGTTGAGAATATTCTTCATATTGGTCTTGAAGAGTATTTTGGTCTGTTACCTAGGAAGCCTCTATCCAAGTGTTTTGTCTTGCATATGTATGTTGGTGAAGATGAAGATCAAGACACCATTTGCTTTGGTGAGTTTTCTTTAAGTCAGTTTATTTTTGATTTAGAGCAAGACTTCTGGTACCCCATTAAAGGATCATGTGGCGTACTTTATGTTGAAGGGTTGTGAATACATCTCAACAAGTTTCTGTGCACATGGATGTCAAGTAAACATCTCTGGGCCAATCACTCTGACATCTTAAAGACTCTTCTGGTCTTTCAAAGCTGAATATGAGTGATATTGTTAATATATGTGACTACCTCTTCTCTTGGTTTGAGTCTGGTGGGGACTCTGATCGTATGTGGATCATTTCCTTGGAGAATTGTGCTTGTAGCAGACTGTCATCATGGTGTTTGTTCATCTTGCAAAGAACTGGTTGTTGCTTTTCAATTCTTATGTACAGGATGAAGGTTTTTTTACTCAAAATTGATTTCATGATCAAGTCTATGAGAACATGGAAATCTTGTTCTGTTATGGTGGAAAAGCCATTCAAGATAGGATAATGTCTGAAAGTCTAAGGGTCTGATCTTCAAGACTATTTAAGGCATGTGTGGTTTAAATCAAATATTCTGACATTGGACTGAACATCTGGATGTTGATACTGAAGTCATTTATGTGTAGTGGAGTCGTATCATCTTGTATAAGTTGGTCGTCTTAGAAGTGGATGCTTTCCATCTATATGGTTGTTGCCTGAGTCTACCTTATCCTTTTTGTATCATGAAATATCTAATAGTTCAAGGGAGTTGATGATTGCTTGGTGTTTTTATATCTGTTTCTTGGAGTCTCATCTAAAATGTTTGATATGAGTGTTCCAGAGTTCTGTCTGGGGGTAAGAGGGTGTTAATATTGGAAGCTCCAGTCTGGTGTTCCCACGTAATCAAGGACCTTATGGAAGGTATTCTGATTGGTCACTTATGAAGGAAGGTGGTATTTGAGTGTTCCCCAAGAAACTTCCTGCTCAAGCATGTTGCTCTAGGCTTACGTGTCATCTCCTGTTGAAGTATTAGCCCTTGCTAGTATTTATGTACTTTGTCTCGTGGTGGACTATGACAGAAGGATAAAAGATTGAGGGGAAGTCGAGAAGCAGATCTTGCAGAGAAGTCTATTTTTTGTATGATGCTCAATCTATATCTTTATGGTTATTGTCAGTCATAATGGTATCTGTCATAGGGATTCTCATCTTTGGATGCTTAAGGATGGGTGTTGACTTCGTAATGTCAGATAGGATGTATGAACATTTTGCTTCTGGGTTGAAGCTTCATGAGGCTTGTGAGAGTTTATTTCTCTCTGTGGTATTATGCCTTCGATGAGGTTTATGAACTGCTACAACTGTGTTCCATAGGAATCCTCTTATGTTCATTGCAAAAGGAAGTGTCTGGCTTACCATGCAAAGAATTATTCCTATGGATGTTGACTTTAGTACCTAAACAGATATGTCCTTTGATTGAAGACGATGTATCTACTAGTGTTTGAAACATCATTTCAGTTGTCTACTATTTATGAAGAATGGTCAAGACTTTGTGGATTTTGATTATCTGTGTGTGGATGGTTAGTTCTGCTGGAAGGATGAATCTTGAGAAGGAAGCAGGTTGAGGAGGTTTTCTTCTTCTTCTTCTTCTGGTGAAGGGGTTTGAGAACTTCCATGTGGGGATGACATCTTGTTTAACCAAGGGGTTAAGAGAATGTGCATGTCTCTTTAGGTTCCAGGCTTGATTGGATTTAATCTCAAGAACAAGGTTGTCTATGGATGTAAGGTTCAAGATGAATTTGTACAGTGTGTGCATCTGATCAGGAGGAGAGTGATCAATGGTGATTGTTGATCTCAATCCAAGAGTCTATTGGTTATGGTACAAGACTGGTGTTCCTATGTTGTTCCTTTCTCTCATGAGCATGAAAGTTTTCATGTGATTCATGTGAGATTGTGATGTCAGACTAAATGTCTTAACATCATGATGTGTTGCTGCTTTAGCCTAATAAGTTATGCGTGTGAGTTTGGCATATTAAGGTTTTGAAGTAATTCAACTAGGTTCATATGTCTTAGAAGAAACCTAAGAAACGAGATTAGATATTGTTTGGGAGAATTTATTTTTCTCTGCTATTTTGAATAAGGTCCATGGAAGCTTCTATGGATAAATGGGAGATGTCACACATACTGTCTGGACATCATGATTAGGACCTTATAATTCTGGATGAAAGGAGTATGTGTGGAGTTCATTAGTAAGCATTGTGATTATGCTCAAAATGTCCAATAGTGATACTAGACAAAGTCTGACCAGATGTCAGGACATTGTTTCAGACTTGTGGTTATTTGGAGTCCCAAGATGTAGGTGAGTTGCATCGAGTTGGGTCATCATATCTTGTGTTATTTTTCTCATTATGTTAATTCAGTATGTGTCTATACTCTAAAGTACATGTTTTGGCAGATGTTGAAACATCTGTCATAACACTGTTTTGACCTTTAAGGTTCATAGTGTTCTTGATTTTAAGAGAATAGGATGTTTCTGTTCTATCCTTGTTCGGTTTTTAGCAGAGATTAATGTCTCGACATCTCTCAGGACATCTGAGATCTGCATACCAGAATTTTAATAGAAAAGGTTGAAGATGAAACATTTGATGATTCAATGCTTGCAATGATTACTTCTAATTGTTGATAAATGAGTTGTGACCGTTTTGAGAAATGAAGAAAAATTTCAATCATCATTGTAGTCGTTTCTATCTTTTGGGAAGATCAAAGGTTATACCGTCATATTACAACGGTTGAATGTTAAAACTGTGGTTTAACATTTTTCAATTTTTTATTTATTTATAAACTTAAGTGACACACACTTTTTGTAATAGAAAAAATAGAAAAAAATATAGTTGTTGAGATTTGAAACTTGTAACATTTACTTTATCACTACGGTTGTTTACCTCAACCGTAATTAAATAACTTTCAAAAAAATAAATAGAAATATAAAAGCGCGACTAATTGTTAAAGAAATAAAACGTTTGAGTGCTGAGATCCCAAACTCATGAAAAGATGATTATATAACCACAATCATATCAATCAACCGTGATTATATCATATCAAAATTTTAATAAAGAAATAAATAAAAATATTTGCGCGTTAAGTAATAGATGTCATCACGATCCTTCGTAGTACCGTGATAATTAAAGCATTGTTGTATATATATTTTGTAGTAGTGATATATATATATATATATATATATATATATATATATATATATATATATATATATATATATATATATATATATATATATATATATATATATATATATATATATATATATATATATATATATATATATATATATATATATATATATATATATATATATATATATATATATATATATAAATGAAATTATTTTCAAGTAATTGGTTTTATATAATTAGTTTTCTTTACGCAATTTTGTAATCTTCTAAATCTACGGGTCGAGAAGAAGATTAATTAAGCTATTGTTTAATCAGAGTTCCTATAATATTTAAGCTTTGATAAATTGAATAAGAGGTCTTTCTTAAAGTTGTTCTTTATTTTGCCATGTAGGGCCCGCCCAATTTATAGGCCATTGAATTCCTTTGCTTTAGGTTTCTTAAAATTATATATAAGAAAAACAAAACATATATCGTCGGCAAAAGATCTAACTTAAAACTTTTATAGTAAAGTTAAAAGTCTCTATCCAACTTTACTGTATCCATGCCCTACAAATTTTTTTGTTTAAGATCTTGCTCACAGTGTTGTGCACTAGTTTAGGTAAGTGTTTGAAAAGATATGAGAACTGCTAGACCTGTACTATAAAACCCTGGTTTCAAGATTTGATCCGAGATTTGCACGAATATAAGATACAACACAGATACATACACGTCAATATTGTTGAATTAAAAGATATAACATAATGACACCGAGATTTGCACGAATACAAGATACAACACAGATACATACACGTCAATATTGTTGAATTAAAAGATATAACATAATGACACCGTTAATATATATAATTTTTAGTTATTTATTTATTGTTTAATAAGTTTTAAATGGTCTAATATCCATAACAATTAATTGAACATCGTCCATTTCATATAAATGTTTATTTAGCTTTTAACTTTTTTTTTGATTTGTTATAAATTTGTTTAATAGAATATATATATATATATATATATATATATATATATATATATATATATATATATATATATATATATATATATATATATATATATATATATATATATATATATATATATATATATATATATATATATATATATATATATATATATATATATATATATATTTATATATAATGTGTATTAAAACAAAGGAAAAAATATTTAAAAAAATTGAAATATTTGTTTGAATATAATCCTAATATGCACATCATATTTATTTGTTTGAGTCTGTGTATTTTTGCGTATTTGAATTTTCGATTCAAATTGTGCACTCTTTATTTGATTTTTCGTACTCCGTAGACCATAAGAATTAACTCCGAAAAAAGGTAGAATTATTAATTTTTTGAAAACATAGAGCTACAAAACGATCCAAATGAAGAAAAAGAAAAGTACATGAAAAATGGAAAGAAATACAAACACTACATATTGTTGAATAACTTGCATCCATCACATAGTTGTAATGGATCTTCACTTGGACATAAGATTGTGTTTCATCTTGTCAAGAATAGAAGTAAGTTTCACTTTGTTCAAAGGCTTCTCTTGATACTCATCTAATCCAGCTTCCATAAACTTGATTATTTCCTCTTCCATCGAATGCGATGACACTCCAACGATAGTGCTACAAATTCCCATGGCGCGAAGCTCCTTCGTTGCCTCAACGCCATTCATGATAGGCATATCTTTATCCATGAGAATTAGGTCAAATTTCTGGCCATAACTATGAATTTCCAATGCTTCTTTCCCATTTTTCGCACCTTGACTTTTCACTCCTAAACTATTCAACATCTTTTGATGAATTTTTCGAATGATTTCAGTGTCATCTACAACTAGTGCCGTTAACTTGGACGCAAAGTTTTCAATTGACGCCATTTTATTATATTGCAACTTTTTCACGTCTACAATAGAAAAAAATATTTATAAAAAACAAATGAGTTTATTTTTCCTCTTAATTCATCAAAAAATATATATGTATAGCATTAACACTAACCTGGATATAGTAAACTCTTTCTCAAGATTTTGATGAGACTAATGATGAAGAGTATAAGAAATGAAAAATGGACATGAATATATATAGACTCAAGAAATATTATTATTTATCTTCATTATATTTCACAATTGGATGTACGTACGCATCAACTTGAATTCGATGTGTTATGAGTTTGGATTCTGTTAAAAATCACAAAATCTAAGGGAGAGTGATAGTTTTCCAAAAATGAGGAGTGATTCCTATCTTGAATAAATTTTGTAGGGCATCTTTTTTCTATTTTGAACTAAACAAGAAGACAGTAAAATTTTCATGTATATTTTTTTGGATACTTTTTTGCTACTTGCCTTTCATTTTCATTGGCACGAGGAAATGAGTGAACCATATTAACCTTCTGACTTTGTTTCTTCTTCGTTATAGCCATCGAGTGTATACTTTACAATGCAAAAGAGTTAGAAGGAAAAAGGAAAAAAATGATTACAGTGCAAGGAAAAGAATAAAATAGAAGAAACTAAGTGTACATGTCCACGTATAAAACTTTATTTACTAGCTGGAGAAGCATAATAGCTTAAGTGGTGTCTACAACACCTTTCAGAATCATACAATGCTACTAGCTAGTTAGTCCTACTTATATAAAGCATTAGATTCTTATGATATCATCTTTATCCATATGTTATATATATACTATGCATGCTAATTATTAAGGGGTACAATTATATATATATATATATATATATATATATATATATATATATATATATATATATATATATATATATATATAATTTTAGTTAAATTGTGATTAAATAAAAAGGTTTAATATTTTTTATGGTTAGTACGTGGAATTTTTTACCCAAATAATCAAACTTTTTTAAAAAATTTTTAAAATAATCTATATTTTAAAATTATTCCTAAAGTACTCCAGTTAGGATTTGGGATTAAATAAGGGCGCCAGATGAATTGGCGACACCTTGTTAAAGCCATAAAGGAGTCGTCAATTGGCTTGGAGACTCCTTATGCAGTCTCCAATTCAATTGGCGATTGGGTGTTATTCTTACAAGGGTGTCGAATTCATCTAGAAACTCCTTGTATTTTGAAATTTTTTTCTATAAATAGAGGTGTTATGATGGTTTACTTCCACAGTTCATATGATATATTTGTTCTGCTGATAACATATATCATCGCCGGTGGAGAAAAGTTGTATATTCGAGAGAGAATCCTTTGATGGATATGTTATTTTGGAACATACAAAGTTTCAATCAACTTAAGAGAGAACTGAATAGGTGGTTGGAAGGAGACATTGGTGAAGGAGAAAAGATATGTAGTATCGAGAGACTTGATCGGCTGCATGGATGGGTTCGTGTTAAGACCGACAAAGATGCGAGGGAAGTCATGTTTTGACCGAATGAAATTAGTTTGATTGTTGTAATCAGTTAGGAATGTCGTAATCACCTAGTTAAAGTTTTATGTTTTATGAAATTAGTATGTGTTGTTAGTGTTGTTTGTTGTTAAGACCGTTGTAACAAGGACTCATCAATATATAAAAATATTTGGTTACAACAAATGAAATGATAGGCTAAATCATGATGCAGATGTGCCTCCGACATTGGGACATTTTTTTTGGTTGTGTCCTGGCTGACGACATATACTACACAATCTTATCATTTTATCATTCGTATCAATTTCGGTTCTTATACGCTAGTTGTTTGGGTGTCTCTTTTTCTTTCTTCTCGTGTCATTGTTGTGCCAAACTATGTCACCTTGGTATGGAGGCCAATATCCTCCAGTGGTAGCATTGTGAAATCTTCGTTGTATATGTTTATAACATTAATCGTCTTGTACACATCAGATAGATAGTCATAAGCATCCTGACGAGCATGTGTCCATGCCGCAATGACATGTGAGCAAGGTACGCATAGGGTCTGGTACTTGCCACAGTCACACCAACATCTGTTTAGTCTAATGGCATAGGATAAATTGGGTCTCCCCTCATTATGGTCCATTGTTTCTTGTACAATGAATGTTTTCCTATGACGATCGAAAACTTTAACTGCATGTGTGTTGGCTCTGATAGTATCCTCTTTCATGAATTTCATAATGCTTTCACTAAATACTTGACCGGACGTTAACACTGCACTCCATCTCTCGCCTCTTGTTGCAAAAAGTGATGTCAACCTATAATATGTTGATCTCACAAAGCGGTGATTGGAAGGTTTCTAATTTCTTTGAATACCCCGTTCATGGATTCCACAAGATTTGTCGTCATGTGGCCCTAACGACATCCACCATCAAAAGCCCTTGTCCACTTTTCGAGTGGAATGTTGTCTAACCAGCTTCCGGCATTTGCATTTTACATCCTAATTTCATTAAGGTAGTATTGAAATGTTGGTTGAGTTAGAGTATACTCGGCATTCACAACTTTTTTGCGAAGATTCTTGTCTTTGATTACACACATGAAGTTTTGTGCAATATGTCTAATGCAATACACATGGGTAGAAGGAGGATTATGCCACCCGTTATCATGGTTATTGTACGCACTCTTTATAGCAGCATGCCTAATTTCGATTCCAATCTTTCTTTGAAATGTAAAAACCTTGTGTTTCTATTGGTTGTGAAACGGATAATGTCGGTGTTTTGAAAACCAAACCCAGATACATCAGAGACATGTGTCTCTCTGTTGTAGTGGGCGTTAACAATATATCTGGGTGCATATGACATACTAAAAGAACTAGTATTGGACTGGTAAAATTGTTCGTATGAGTGTATGCATGCATGGGAACATATTTAATAGTTTTAGACATCCTTTAAGAAGCCACATTAATTGGCGACAAAGATATAAATAGTAAATGCAGAAGCCACATTGATAAGCGACATGGAACAAGCATTTAAAGCAGTTGCCACCTGCATTGGCGACATGGTACAACCTTTAATGTGCTATGTCGCCATGTGGGTGACAGCATGTTATGCATGCATGTAACAAGGCTCAGGCTACGTTGTTGAGCTAGATTCCCTCACAGGGGTCGCCAATTGGACTGGCTTACCTTTGTAAATGTTTCACTATGTCTCCAATTGGTCTGGCTTGCATGTTCAGATGAATTCTCTATAAAAGCATGATACAAGCATGGGTAAAATGCACCATCTGATTCTTACTTGTTACAGAGAGGTAATATCAAGTCGGTTTGTGGCAATATACTAGTTATCTGATTCACATTTAATCGGTTATAATGACATTGTTGACATTGGGTGAAACACATAGAGGCATTGTCGCAAATATCACGACTTATGTAAGTGTTCATTGTTTCTAGTATATGTTAATTCTTAGTGTTAATTGTTACTCTTATAATTTTTAGTTTCTTGTATATGGGTTAATTTTTTTACTCTTATAATTGTTTTACTCTTATAATTTTTAGTTTCTTGTATATAGGTTAAATGTTTTTTTACTCTTATAATTTTTATTGACTCTTTTAATAACTTTTGTAATTTTTTTTGACAATTATGTAGGAAGTCTCTAAGTTTCGGTGTCGTGCCCATGAATATGTTGCACCCGACGAATTAATTCAACCATATATTGAGCTCTTCAGCTTTAGACATGTAAGAAAAATCATGTCTTATTCGGTTGACGCAAAGTTTATACTAGCTTTGCAAGAGAGATGGTGCCTAGAGACACACATCTTATTTTTTCCAACCGGTGAATGTACCGGGACCTTGGAGGACGTGTACATGTTACTCGGTTTGTGTATTTATGGTAAGAAGGTCAATGGAACAACAAACCTTAATGGTTCAATTTGTGAGGAACTTTTAGGTGCCGACTTGCTATATGATAACTTGAGAGGCCAAGGTATCTTACTTTCGCGCCTAAAATCATGGTACGCCGGTTTTATATTAGATGAAGATTCTATAGAGGAAATGAAAATAATAAAAACCAGGTGTTATCTAATACTTTTAATTGGTCTATTTTTATTTCCCGAGGACACTGGTTCTTCTATGCACATAATGCATTTACCTTTATTGAGAGACCTGACTAAAACAAGAGAGTATAGTTGGGGCTCTACTTGTCTGTCTTATTTATATAGCTCTTTATGTAAGTGTGCAAAAAAACACATCTATTTTTTCTGGATGCGCCATTTTTCTCCAAGCATGGGGTTGGTCTAGATTTCCATCCCTCGCGCTCGTCAACCACAACGACTTTTCCTTTCCGTATGCACAAAACTAAGTTCCTCACTTAAGCTTTGTTTATTTCACCTTAATAATTATTCTTTCTAACTAATTGAGTTTGAACTGTTTTTTGTTTAGATGGTTGGCTAAGGGTATGACTTATAATAGATGTCATAAATATTGTATTATTCAATACCACAATTTGTTGGATCATCTAACACTTGCAGATGTAAGGCCTCTAAACTACATCAACTTGTATTTTATATCAACTATTAATGATCTAATATTTTTCTCTTCTTCAGTTCATATGGAGTTCATATCTAAACATGGGACACCTACATGAAGTCAAACAGGAAGATGTTGTCGTTTGGACTGCATGCGTCCCGGTCATCATATTCACAACTATGGAGATGCACAACAGTTACCGTGTCAAACTACAATTTGGAATGCATCAAAACATCACAGATCCTCCTGTTGACATCAGTAAATGGCATCTAAAAAGAGTTAATGATCAATGGGAGTTTTCCAACTAGAAGGATTTTGCAAAATCTGAGCGTCATAAATGGATGGCCCGCAGCGCCCATGTCTTACGTGACCCGGTGATGGCAACACAATCTATACCAACTATTAATTATATGGATTGATACAGATCAGTTGCAACTAGGTTTGTCTCCGAAGACAAATATTTATACGCCTCACGCCAAACCACCTATACACAAGAGGCTTCAAC